GCCCTTCCCTTCCTGCCAAGGGCTCACTCAGCGCCTCGCACCCGGCTGCTGGGCTGCGCCAGGCTCCCTCCTGCCCGTGCTGCTCTCGCTGCTGGGGAGCACCGCTCGGTGCCAGGAAGCTGCAGCTGAGCAAGGGCTGCTTGGGTGCTCAAGCAGCCTCGCGCGGGGAGGCCGGGACACCTGACAGTCTAGGGTGGGCTCCGGGCATGCGATGCTGGAGGCTGCAGGAGGAGCAGGCACCTGAGCACCCCCTTTCCATCTGTCCCCAGCTCGCCCAGAAGTACGACCCACAGAAGGCCCCAGCTCGCCCAGAAGTACGACCTGCAGAAGGAGGTTGAGCTGAGGACATGGATCGAGAACGTCACTGGGCAGCGCATCGGGCCCGACTTCCAGAAGGGGCTGAAGGACGGGGTCATCCTCTGCGAGTGAGTCCCTGCCCAGGCCACGCCACGCTCAGCCCGGCTGCTCGTGGCACGCGGGCGCTGGGCCCCTCGGGGAGGCCACGGCACCGCTGCGGGAGCGGGGGGTTTCAGACAGGACACTCTTGGCGGGGGTGCCCTCCGAAGCCCTGCTCGCTGCAGCCCTGCTCGCTCCTCTCCCCCAGGCTCATGAACAAGCTGCAGCCCAACTCGGTGAGGAAGATCAACCGCTCGGCCCAGAATTGGCACCAGGTAGGTGCAGGCAGCGCCCTGGGCTGGGCCGCCCACCACAAGCCCCCTCTCTGTGGCCACCCATGCCTGACCCTTTGCCCTTCCCCGGCAGCTCGAGAATCTCTCCAACTTCATCAAGGCCATGACCAGCTATGGCATGAACCCCGTTGACCTCTTTGAAGCCAACGACCTCTTTGAGAGCGGAAACATGACGCAGGTGCAGGTGTCACTGCTGGCACTGGCGGGCATGGTGAGTGCCAGGGCACATGAGTGCCCTGACCCCCTGCTTGGGCGGACGTGGAGGTCCCCTTGGGCACATCTGGAGGACCCAGGGTCACCTCCTGCACCACCTCTCTGCCGCAGGCCAAGACCAAGGGCATCCAGAGCGGTGTGGACATTGGCGTCAAGTACTCGGAGAAGCAGCAGAGGAACTTTGACGAGGCCAAGATGAAGGCTGGGCAGTGCGTGATCGGGCTGCAGGTGGGCTGCCCGGTGCTCTGCGGCGCTGGGGGTGCCCGGGCTGATGGACTGCCCTGTTTTACTACACGAAGCGGATGCTTTGTGTAGTAAAGAGGCTTGGGATACCCTGGGGCTTCCCCTGAATGTCCCTGCGCGCTAGGACCATCTTGGCTCCGTGTTCAACTCCCTGGAAAGCTGAGCATGGGAGAGGGAAGATGTTGGAGGAGGAGCTGGTGCTGGGCCGTGGGGTGGGCTGGTCTCTATGGTGGGCATTGGGATCCCACCAGTCCTCTCTGCTCCAGATGGGCACCAACAAATGTGCCAGCCAGTCGGGCATGACAGCCTATGGCACCAGGAGGCACCTCTATGACCCCAAGAACCAGATCCTGCCGCCTATGGACCATTCCACCATCAGTCTCCAGATGGGCACCAATAAGTGTGCCAGCCAGGTGAGCCCAGGGCTGGGACTGGCCGTGGCTGGGCGGCCATGGGGACACTTCTGAGCTCTGCCCCATCTTGTCCTTCCAGGTGGGCATGACAGCTCCAGGCACCAGGAGACACATTTACGACGCCAAGATGGGCCTGGAGAAGTGCGACAACTCCTCCATGTCCCTGCAGATGGGCTCTAACCAGGGGGCCAACCAAAGCGGCCAGGTTTTTGGATTGGGCCGCCAGATCTATGACCCCAAGTACTGCCCCCAGGGCAATCAGGACGACGTGGCCAACGCTGCCTGCGAGCAGAGCATGGACCCACCTGGGTACCACTACTACTGCGAGGAGGAGAGCTACTGAGCGGGCTGCCATGGTGCATGGCCCGGCCCTGCCAGCTCGTGTACAGCCCCACTGCCAGCAGCATTCCTGTGTCTCGCCTTTCATCTTTCCCTCTTTTTATAACTCTTTTTTTTTAAGGAATCTATTTTTCTGAGCAAAAAGATGAAGACCCTATTTCTAAAGACGAGGGCAGCCGCTCTGCAAAGCCCCTGGGCACCGTGGCCCCCGTCTGCCCGGGGCTGCGGCTGGAAGGAGGCAGCTGCCCCAGGGCTGTGCATTGGACGGTGTCTTTTCTTGAGCAGCCAAGAAGACGCGGTTCAAAGTGGAAGCGTCCTCGGAGCAGCGCCCACAGCCCTGGGGGGTGGCCGTGCCACGGTCCTGGGCATGCGGGGGTGGCAGTGGGCTGTGTGGCTGCGGGTAAAGTACAAAGTGCTGCCCTCACCCCATGTGCAGCGGGGCTCATCCAGGACTGCGCCCTGGGGACGTCCCGCACAGGGCAAGGGTCCCTTGGACAGGAGAAGCCGGGTGGTGGGAGCTCTGGAACCCACCTCGAGTCTCCTGCTCCTCGCAGGGCCCAGGCTCTGCTTCCCTGCATGGCCGTGGTGTCTTCAATGCCACCAGGGCAGCTGATCTCCTGTCATTCTCTGGAAAGAAAGCAAAGCTGGAAACGTTTTTTTCTTAGGGACCAAGTTGCTGATGCTTCCCTCTCCTCGGAGAGCAGGTACCAGCTCAGCCTCCTGCTTGCGCGCCCAGGGCTGGGGGGCTGCAGAGCCCCCTTTGCAGCAGGGTCCAGGACCTGCACATGGAGCTGGACTGTGGCTCCACGGCCACCTGGTTCAATGTCACACTGTGGTCACTGGGGTGCCTGGCAGGGGAGCATGAGGGCGGCCACTCATGGCTGCAGGGACTGCAGCTTCCTCGCTGGCGCAGGGGCTGGCGAAGGCCGCGTGCATTTGCAACCACTTAGTGTGCAAAAAACCATGTGTTTCTCACACAGCTGCTCTTGGAGGGAAAGCTTTTTGGTGTTGGAATTAACCAGGAAACATTTTCTAGCGAATGCTGCTCAAATGCCCAGGCTGGGGGCTCATCAGGGGCTGCAGCCGCCTCCGCGGGGCCGGGCTGCTGCTGCCCCTGCCCAACCCATGAAGCTGCTGCCCTCAAACCGGGAGCCGGGGACTTTCTCTTGACTAAATGTGAAGCTGTGGAATATTTTTTGGTGTTGGCAATAAAAAGCTTCCGTAAAGGACCTTGCCCATGTGAGGAACTGTGAAAGCCGCTTGAGTGCTGTGACTCGTGGTCTCAATGCACCGGCCGCTCCGGCTGTGGCCGCGCTCCGCCCTGGACAAGAAGCGGGGCCGAATGCCTGGCACCCCACTGTGCCCCCCAGTTCAGGAGGGATCAGGAGAGCCACTTTCCTCCATGGCACGAGGCCAAGGCCCAGTGGCTGGGCTGGGAACTCTAATGGAAATGCTGGCTCTGCACCGTCCTTGCCCACAAGCCGCAGCCTTTTATCCTGTCATTACTGCTTTGAAAAAACCCAAGAGCTCAGCTCTGCTTTGCTCTGCTTTCCGTAAGCACTCCCAGCTTTGGCCTCCTGCCGCGTTACGAAGCCGGTGCGATCCAGCCGGCTCCCGGTCTGGCCCAGGCCCCGCTCCGGCTGCCGGTAGCACCATGACTCAGATGTTCTCTGCACTTCACAGCCTCCCGGGAGCCGCTGCCGAGCTCCAGGGAAAGGTGTGCGCAGCTAATTGCCCGTAATGCGAACTCATAAAAACTGTAACGGGGTGTGTAACAGCTCCCCTGTAACAGCCCGGGAATTTGCCTGTCATCAGCCTGGGAACAACAAGTTGCCCCAGAAGATGGGTGGGGGCAGCCCTGACCCCCAACATCTCCGCGCGAGGGAGATGGAGGCCAAAGCAGAGGGGCCTGGCTCTGGTGCTGGGCAGCAGGGAGCAAGATGGGCGCCCGGCAGCCTCCCTGGTCCCTGCGAGGCTCCTGGCCTGGCAAGGCCGGGCGGGTGGGCACGCACAGAGCCTCCATGGGCACCCAGCCCTGGCGTGGGCACCCACCCTGGGGGGCTGGGGGAGGCCTGTGGGTCCAGGAGCGGGGTGAGGGCCGGGGGCTCCCCAGGGTGCCGGGGCCAGCACTGGCAGAGGCACCTTGGCCTCCCCACAGCGCTCCACGGGGAGCGGGGACAACTCGCAGCGGCGGCCCCTTTAAGAGCCACTTCCT